GGGCAATTTTGAGAGTGACCCACTCTGAGATTTGCTAAAAAGAAATCAGAGACTTCTTTGCGATTTTATGGAAACTTCCTTTCCAGTGACACAACCTCTATTTTTGTGCCTGGACATTGAGGGAAACCCTCTGCAGCTGAGCTAATCTTTCCTGGTATGCACATTTCTGGCTAGACCCATGTGTGTACAGATACCTACTAACATTAGAACTGGAGCCGTGTCTTTATGCTGAGCCTTCAAAACAAATTTAGTCAAAGAAAGCAAGTGTGTGAGATTTTTGTGGTGCTTAAATAGTTTACAGGATGCCTTTGCTCTAAAAGTACTTTTTCATTAATTTTTTTTCAATAAGTTGGATCCAGCTGCCCACTGTAGGTCTGAAGTTGGTCTGTTTATTCACTGTATTTACTTAGGCTTGGTGCTGTTGGGAATAGTTGAAGGTGTTGGCCCTCTAAGTGTAAACCTAACCAACATTTGTACTTCATAAATTTTAAAGCCAAGAAAAAAAAAAGGCATTGTGCTCATGTGGCCTTTCCGAAGACAGCATTTTCTTTACCTAATTCATATGCTGAGTCCAGTCTCTTTAGTTGAATTTAGACTTCTTTTAGGAAAAAATGAAAAGTCTACCTTAAACTAAATTTTTCAGTGAAATACTCCACCAGAACTGATAGACTATTGTAATGGATAATTGCCCTTAATGATAATAATTACCCTATTTCTAATCTAAATATGCTTAGTCTCCATGTGTAGTGGAGTACATTCCTGAGTCATTTACAAACTCTACCAGTATCCGTCGCCCTATTTTGGGGGAAGGAGGGAGTCACTGTTAAAAAAAACATTCTGGCAGTGGTGACTTTCCACTCATAGTTAGATTTTGAGACATACCAGTTCTCTGGCTTTTGACTCAATTTATGTGTGCCACACTTACTGTGTAGCTTTATAGCTTCATAACCCCAACATCATGTGGAATTAAGTCAAATATCATACCAAAGTCTAAAGTTATCACACCAGCACTAATACATCTATTTACCAAACCAGTAATCTCCTCAGAAAATATCTAGTTAGTTTGACAAGATGTGTTTTCCTAGACCTATGCTGTTTAGCATCAATTATTTATTTTAATATTTTATTAATTGAATGAGATTTTCATTATTTTGGCAGGATTTCTGTCAGGATGACAGGCTGTGATTGCTTAGCTCGCTCTGCTCATCTTCTTCAAAATGTCATCACTTTCCTACCACTTTCCACCCAACAGTATGTTCAATGTGCAGAACAACACTTAGGGGCTTAGGAGAAAAAGCACATTTTCATTGAGTTGTTTTGCACTGTGAAAATCACTTTCTCCATTCAGCTGATTTTGAGACCAGTGAAGAGCAGCCAGCAATGAGTCAAACCAGGAGGCAATCATGCTCTGAGCAGCTGAAACTGCTCACGTTGAGACCAGTGATGGTTGCTGAGGGAGCAAACGCCATGGCCAGGCTAGCCAACCCTCAGCTCTCTGTAGCCCCGTGGTGATGATGAAGGGACTCTCTGTGCCAGAGGTGTCCTCCACTCCCCAAATACACCACTGTAAATGACAGCAGTACGTGTCTTGTTGTTTCTTTATGCGACAATGGAAAGGATTCTGAAAAAAGGATTCTGATTTGGTTCCAAAAGCATACACCTTTGGGGGACTTACAACGGGTTTGAAAGAGGTGGTACAAAGAAGGAGGCAACCATGAGAATTGAAGCATTTTCCTACATTTCATCAAAGCTTTTGCAAGACAATGAAACAACTGGACATTGTCATTGTTATAGGTAGTGTGGGACATCTTCTGCTCAGTGTTTACTATAATAATTTCAGTATTAGAGTGGGGTTTGGGACCCGTGTCTTCCCTCTTCCACAGAGTGCTGAAGAAATGCATTGCTATTCCATGCAAAGTGGCACAGTTGCAAGAGGGTGCTATGGGTGTCCTCGCCTCAGGGTAATTTCTGATCATTAAGGGCATGACAGGCTCAGTCCCTCGCAGGTGCAACCTGGTTTTTCTACACTGTGAGTGCTGAGCTGGGGGCTGGGACCCAGGCACAGGAGGATGGCAAGCCTCCCCAGCCCTGGGCTGCCCCAGGGAGCAGAGCTGTCAGCCCCATCCCAGGGGGACGGAGACATCAACGCCTCCCTAATATCAAGAGCTCAGTGTGGGACTCACCATGAGGCACCTGAGGACATGGGACTTCCCAGGCACCTTGCTGGCTCTTTAGGAAGTTCCCCTCTCGGCTGACTTTCCCAGCTGCTGCTCATAGGCACGCAGTGCTGCAGGCGCATGGAAGTATCCATGCGGGACAGGCTTGGGCTTCCCGTCAGCCCAAGGGGTTTAAAAGCAGTTCTGCTCTTCCTCAGAGGATAATTGTGAGGAGAAATGCATTAAGGACGTAGAAATGCCATGATCATGAAAGCTATGTGAATGCATACTGAGAAAGGCAGAAAACCGCATGCAACCAGGAGCTTATCGGAAAAAGAGTGGACATTTCTAAGGAAAACAAGATTACCTAGCACTGCAATAATAAGGAGTAGAAATAGAAAATACTTTTTAAAGCTGTATAAACCCACCACCCACTAAGAAACAGGCTTTGATAGCTTCCAGTGTGATTTCTTGTGCTTGTTTCTGAGTGCCTGGCCTGGACCAGTGGGGAAGAGAACTGCGCCAGGTGGATTAGGGGTCACCTCCACATCAGCAATTCTTATTTTCCTGTCATTAATAACTACATATAGGCTGTCAGGAATCATATTCACTATTCAGTCCCACATATATCTGTTTATTCTGTTTATTCCCTGATTTTTTATGATCTCATCTAATTCTACATGGCATCTGCTGATGCATATGTTTCTTCTGATTTTAATGCAACCTTTTGTGTTTGTCAGGAAGGTGGTGTTGGCCCTGCGACTGCCTGGTCCTTCATACAAACATTTTGTCGTCTTTGAAATGCCCTCTGTTCTGGAATGTTAGAAAATAACAATATTGAAAACCTTCAAAGAATATTAAAAACATTAAAAACATTAGCTTTATCACAACACAATAAATAGTTCCATCACCCACTGAAAACTGACTTCTGCAGCTGACATAGTAATGAAGTAGAAATTCAGATGCTGAGATAGTCTGGGAGTGGACAAGTTGTCAAAAGAGGAGCCAGGAACCATTAGTTTTTCAAATCACTTAATTTTTCAGCTTTACTTTTCTCTCCCATAGGGAAGAAAAAAAACCCAAAACCATAAAACCATTGAAAACCTTCAAAGAATATTAAAAACATTAGCTTTATCACAACACAATAAATAGTTCCATCACCCACTGAAAACTGACTTCTGCAGCTGACATAGTAATGAAGTAGAAATTCAGATGCTGAGATAGTCTGGGAGTGGACAAGTTGTCAAAAGAGGAGCCAGGAACCATTAGTTTTTCAAATCACTTAATTTTTCAGCTTTACTTTTCTCTCCCATAGGGAAGAAAAAAAACCCAAAACCATAAAACCCCCCACCTTCACAGTCAATATATGTACAATAAATTGAAGGCAATATGTGCTAGACAAGTATGATCAGAGTGATAGTGTGTGTTGAAAGCTGATGCGTGTGACAAAGATAGGACCTCTTATGTGGCACCAAATGCTGAACTGCCTATAAATTATCAAGCTGTTGGCTTTATTATTTTGATTGCTTCCTATAGTTCTTTACCTAGTCTTTTTCTAAGGTGCTTCTGCAGATTTCTCTGGGTGAATGTTGCCAATTCCTCTACAGATCATGCAACTGGAAGAAAAATCTTTTCTCAGTAATTGTGTACTTCAGGGTTTTACCTAAGGAGTATTAAACCTAAAAGTATGTGTATGTCTTTTCCTAATCAAACACGGGAGGCACAGGAGATGTCAGCTCACAATAAATGACGCAGGTGTGATGGTCTATTTTAACTTGTGCACCTATTTGTGACGTGTATAACAGGAAGTTCAGAATTCAGGATATGGCAGATCACATAATTAGACTCAAAAGAAAAGCCTTTTGCTATATTTAATTCTCTCCCCTAGTTAACTGAAAATGTAGATTTAGACAGTCCCATTGACTGATTCATTATTAAACTTCCTTTAGGGTGACCCAGACTCTCATGGGCTTTATGTGGTTGCATACACTGAGTTAAGGGTCTCTTCCCCCTCTGCAATACACTGGTAGTGCTCATGCCGTTGGCTGTTGCTCACCATCCTTCAGGAAATGTGTCCTTTCAAAGCATGGGAAAAGGAATATGGCCCTGAAGGAAAAGATTTGAACTGCATGCCACCAGTATTACTCTTGATGCAAAATATTGCTTGTTTTGAGGGCTACTTACAGAGACAATTCTAGCCCTAAATTGAATAAGAAAAATGTAATAATAATTGCTTATGTTTTCACGGGTTAACATTTCTTAATGCTGACATTTCTTAATTATTGGACATACAATTCAAAGACAATGTAATGGGAAAGAAGCTTGTCAACTATAGTCCTTTTAAAGCAGTTAATAAATGTAAAAACTCCTATTCTTTTAAAACAAATCCCCCTTCTTCGCTCCAAGGTTACAATGATTGCAGCTGCCATACTGATTGGTAGGCACTGCTGCGGCTCCCTGATAAACCTCCCCTAATGAGATTTGAAAGCCTACACTTATCAGCGTAACATCTCTCTCTAAAACTAAATCTGATGCAGCAGGAGATGGCAAATGCAGAGGGAGGAGAGGTTTCCCATAGGTAGCAGAGCTGAGCCTTTCTCCTTCATGCCGAGTGTGTGGACAGCACTGACACAGAGAATTTGGTCATCTGGGGACCATGATAAGACACATCAAGTACCAAACTAGTTGATTGCTTGGAAAAAAAATGGGTCCTAAATGTGAAATATCCTCTTTGCATGTATCTGTGGCCCTGGCATAATGCTATTGTATGGGTGACTGAAGCGTATCTGATTATACACCGCTTATTTGGGAGAACTCATGTATTTTTCCACACTCCTTTTACAGCTCCCAAGTCTACCTTTTGTCCCACTGAAGAGACCTGGTGGCCAGGCCTGGTTATTATCATTGCAGTATGCTGCGCCACACTAGTGTTCCTCTTCGTAGTTGTCATCATTTGCTACAAAGCCATAAAAAGGTAAGACTCCAGATGCTTTTACTATGTTTAGGGCAATGCAGCCCCGCAAAGGTTGAGTCAAGACTTGGCTGACACCTTGTTTTGTTTAAAGGCATCCTAAAGGCAAAATGCATCCTGTAGTCAATGTGTGTTTTCATTGGAAAGTTACCATGTGTACCGTATCCTGCCTGTGTAAAGGATGAAGTTTAATGCACAGTCATGGGCATGAGGAGGAGAAAAACTAGAAATGGGACAGGGCCACAGTGTTCAGGTTAATATGAACTCCCCAAAGTCAAATTGCTGCAGGTTGCTGGGGAATGTCTATAGCTTTGGCTTGGCCAAGTGTAGAGGCAGGAAACACCGTCTTATCTAGTTCTGGTAGTATTCAAAATTTACACGTGGGATGAGAGATTTTTGGCCCAGGCCCATCACCGATTGTAGCATTTCAGATTGATGCAAGCTCTTGTAACCCAAACTCTAGGGTAATTTGTGTAGTTTTTCATTTGGAGACTCTACTTCTAATTTATTCTTGCTTCAAAATTATCATCTACAGAATCCATTTCAAAACCTGTCTGTTTTAATTTAAAACCATATGTGAAGCCTATGTACAACACAGTCCGTAGTAACCATTTCAGCTCCCCTACCACTGTCTTTGCAATAGATGTGCTTGCATAGGCCTCCGGTAGTTAGAAATTATTGACTTCAGTTACACAGAAAAATGGGAGCAGGAATAATTTCTTCAGCTAAATAATGTTTCATATTTCGAGTGGAAAAAGTAAAAATCCATAACTTTCGTGAGATACTGCAATGACACCTGAATCACAGTTTGGATTAAATGATGTTTATTCAGCTTTGGATTTTTTTCGGGGGGAGTGGGGGGAAGAAAAGAAAATACCTTTCATGAAAAATGTTATCTGCATGCAAAGCAACTGCAAGATTTTTGATGAGCCTCAGCAGGGATATCACAATGGTGGGGTATTGCACGTGCTTTGTGGTTGTCTGAAAAAATTATGCAGGATTTGAAGGATATTATATCCAAGAACATCAAAAAGGGAGAATTCAAACAAGAAGACAGAAGTCTGTATCTAATTTCTTATTAAATTTACATAAGTATCTTTGCTATTCTAGTTTAGCTAAAATGAATGCTTATTAGTTTTCAGGAGTTGGAAGGCTTTCACTCTATCTATCTGAACTTCTTAAAAATCGTCTATGGAGTACTGAAATTGGAGTCAAATTGGATTGGTAACACAGTGCAAAATTTTTTACGTGTAATTCCTAATCTACCATTGGCTGTTCATAGGGGATTGGTCCAATTCCATGTGGGAAGTTGTATTTATTTGTTTCAAAAACAGCTATTGTATTTGTCTGCCTAGTGCCAAATTGTGAATGATTTCTGCCAAGGCTAGAAAATATACCTATGGGAGCAGTAACTCTCCAGGGCAACTTGTGCCTGGCAAGGAATTGCTCTTCAAATCTGCTCTGATGCTGGTGGATGGGAGGCACAGAAAAGAAATTTAAACAAATTTAGAGCTGCACTTGAAAAGGCTTTGGGAATTCACATAATGAAGTCTTATGCTTTATGTTGGTGAAGAATAATACAGATACTTGATGAAGACACCCATTATTTGTCAACAGTGTGAATATCAACGTACAAGTCAACCACTTGAACAGGCATTAGGCTCAGAGAAAAGTGAAAATTCCTCTTAGATCTTCTTATTGTTGACATTCACACTGCTGACAAATGCTAAGCTGAAAACTGCTCAGATGTGGGACAGACAGCTATAAAAGAAAATCGTATTAATTATATTTTTACAGAGTAACTAGAGCATTTCTTTTCATCAATGAGTCCTTCCTAAAACAGCTCTGTTAACAGGATGCCCTGAAGTGCCTGGCAGCATTCCTCAGTAATCCAGATTCCTTGATCCACTGTAAAAGATATCTATTGATAAACGCTGGGAAATAAGATAAGATGCTTCACAAGAGAAGCATCTCTGCCTACGACACAGAGTATTATCCCATATTGTTTAGCTGAATTGGCTTTAGCTAGGGTGAGAAATCCTTCACTCTATTTTTTGCTGGGAGGTAGAGGTGGCTAGAGAAAGAGTGAGAGGATTAATCTGGGTGATGCTGAAGCTGAGAGTCCCTCCAGTGTGTTCCCAGCCCCTGGCTCCATAACTATGCTCTGCCCCGTCCTTTCTCACACCTCCATCCCACCAGCTGTCCTCTGCAGTCCTCCTCCTGGGCCCTCATTCCTGCGCATCTCCTGGAATTGGGACCTCTGTCATTGCATCTCCAACAAATCTGTCTCCCACCTCCAAAGCAGTACATTGTCTGCTTACTTATAATATACCCATCCCCTTTAGATGTGAATGCCACACACTCATCCTCCAGCTGCATCTAGGTTGGGTTGTAACCTCGATATGGCACAACCCTTGTCGTCCAAGGAAAGGCACATGCTGATTGCCCTGACCTTTGCCTGCCTCGACTCTTTCTTAGCTCTGGGTGAGGATAGCCTTGCATCTCACCACTGAACAGCATCCTTTCCTTCTTGCACCATGCCAAGCATGTCTGTAGGTTTCAGAGGTGCCCCAGCCTCGGTTCCCTGCTGTCATGTAGCTGGTTACGGCAGGGGGGACCAGGAGAGTGGCAAAGTATGCTGAGAACAGGACTGTTTACAGTGCCCATCACAAACTGACCCTTGAAGCCCTCTCCTGCTCAGTTTCCTCTCTCTGAAACAGATATCAAATCATCTACCTGCATCTCAGGGATGTCACTGAGATTCATCACCTGCTTTCTCATGAGCAGTGTAAATGTGAAAGTGGCAAGAATCATTATCCAAACATACGCTTCCTAAAACCTTGCATGAGACTGTCACCCTCCAGCATTTTTAGACAGGAATTTTTTTACCACTTCCTGGGGGAGCAGGGGAAGGAGATCCACGTCTTCACGTTTGGAAACCCTAATTCGGATGGGACCCTGGGGTGCAACAAAAACTGAAAGTGCCAGTAGGCATGAAAACTGGCTCGGCAGCAGATGGCTTATATCTTTTTTTGGTGTAACAGGAAAAACATTTAAAAATTCTCACCAGCCCATCAGCTAAAAAGAGGTAAACCAAAATAAAAATACCGAGTACCTACTGAACATGAGTTCAGATCAGATGATAGTACCAGTTTTACCCATGGATAGATGTATCCTATGTATACATCTCTCTATATCCTATGTATCCTATCTATAGCAGATCCTATGTATCTACTATAGTAGACATATATAGTGTGTGTCTCCCAGTAACAAATCCATAAGTATTACAGGAGAGTATTGGAAAATTTAACTGGAATAACTTGATTTCTCTGCTTGTTAGTCTTCCAAATGAAGGGGGGTTTACAGACTGACCATCAATGCTATCTATATCCTATTTAGCCTAAAGCATACATCTCAGCTTAATTAGCAGTGTAAGCACTGAAGAGATGCCGAAGAGTGAAATAACAGCAATCATCTGGTTGTAGGGTGTATCAAGAGTTAAACGTTTTAGTAGGAAAGCACAGGCAGAGATTTATTTGCACAGAGCTTGGATCTGTTGTATTAATCCCTCACTTTCATAAGAATCAAATTTGAAGTAGAAAGAAAAAGAAAAATCCTATTGTGCTTAAATTAAAATCTCTTTTACTGGTGTCAAAGGGCCAGACCCAATCAAACTCTCTCATGTCTGCTTTTCTGTAGCAGAAAACTGTAGCAGATAACTCAACTGTATTTTTATTCAATCTGTATAAAAACTGTTTCTCCTGGTGTGGTTTGTTTCCCCTCATAAAAGCTAACACTTTAGCATATCACCAATTTTCACCACTAAGGCTTTTTGTGATGAAATACAACCTAGTGAATTGGTGCTTCTTTGTATAAAATAACTACCAGAACCAAGCCAGCATGCTGCTACCTCCATCCCTGCATCTCCCCTGGAAATACTCAGGTTCTCCCAGTATGATATGGTCATAATAAACGCTGAAATCCATTCCAGTGGATGGATTTGACTTCGCTGTTCCACGAGGGAACTAATACCAAAATGTATCAATCAGCTTTAATACTCAGAGAACTGCTAGACAGGTTAAACTCTTGGGAAGATACATATGGGGTGATTCTTGGAAGGCTCTTAAAGCAGCCTCTAAATTTCCTGTGTGTGATGCTGGTGTATGCAGTGTGGGGCACTGCATGACCGGCACACCAGGTACAGATGTGTGCTATTGCATAGATCAAGCACCAGAGGAGATGGCATGTGATGTTGTGTTGTGCTGCAGCATGATTACACACATGGTGATAGCACCCTCAGTTTGGCAGTGAGGGAACAACTATTTTCTCTGGTCTTGGTGACAGAGGGATATTTCCTCTTTTAAAAAGTGTTAGTTTTCTCTTAAGAAACTTTTCCATGGCACATTAGAAAAAATTTAAGGATTGGCACTTAGCACCAGCAGCAATCACAGTCTGTAACATTGTAGATTTCTAGGACAAGCTTAATCACTCACTGGCCAGGGCTCAGGCCCACTGTAAGCAGTGGGACTTTTCTGCTCATTTTGTGGATAAAGAAAGTGATCTGACAACCAGCGATTTCTGTAACACATAGCAAGAGCAGATGAATAACTGCTTCAAAATCTGGACTACCTCCAGATATTTCTCTACCATGCCTCTGTCTGTAAAAACCTGCCATTCTTTCTCTTTCCATGGA